CGGCTATTTTTTTTTTTTTTTTTGGTTGCAGCCGTCATTGTTGTTTGGCGGGTCCAGGCTGGGGATTCGAACCGCCACCTAAGGTGTAGGTGGCTGGCGCCTTAGCTGGTTGAGCTATAGGTGCCGAGCCTGAAATATCTTTTAATTTAACAGGTCTTCCACCCATCCCTTTTTTTTTTCTTTACATTATGGCACTCGTAATGGCATGGGGGCAATATTGCCTGCAAAGGGGCAAAAACTGGTTCTCTGGTGACAAAAAATCTTAAATATTGCAATGGTTCATGACCTCCAAAAGTCCACAGTACATGAATAGATACCCACCCCATCTGTGGTATTAAAATTTCACGGAGATGAGGGAGCATTAGAGAAATTGTCTAAAATGAATCTTCGGAGGGGTTAATAATGAAGGAAACATAGAGGAACATTGATACATAGGACCTTTTCTGTTTGACCGATAGCATTTCCCTCAAATAGCATTGAAGTGATGATATCAGTAAGTTCTTCTCTGTATTTCCTTCAGACTGGCAGATGAATACAAAGACTCGATACAGCCTTGGTCTGTCCATCCTAGGTATCTCTGCCCTCCTGTGTCCTGAGGCTGCCCACATACTGGTGTTATCTCATGTGATACCCCTGCTCTGTAAACAATCTTTTAAATTAAAAAAAAATTTTTTTACAAGAAAACCCACAAAGGCTTGATAAAAGTGCCTTTACATTCTTTCATTGGGATGCACATGGTGTCTGCTTTTAATTCCTTCTCAATATTAGCAGCTTGGACTATCACCTGGGCTAGTCTGCAGTGTTGTCATAGCTCACTGCAACCTGAAACTGTTGAATCTGAGCGACTGTCGTGCCTCAGTCTCTTGTGTAGCTAGGACTATGGGCATATATGTGGAAATCAGACAGTATTTTTCTTTTTGTGATTGGCTTATTTCATCTAGCATAATATCCTTAGCTTCATTCATGTTGTACCACTTATTAGAATGTCCTTTTTTAAGATTGAATAATATGTCATTGTATGCATACACCACGTTTTGTTTATCTATTCATCCATTAATGGGCCACTTGGGTTGCTTTCACTGTTAGGCTATTGTGAATAACACTGCTGTGAACATTTGTGTACAAATACATGCTCTAGTTCCTACTTTCAATTTTTGGGGGTATGCACCTAGAAGTGGAATTGCTAGATCCTATGGTAATTCCATGTTTTAATTTAATCTAATTAACTTTTTTTTTTCTGAGAAGGAGTCTCACTTTGCCACCCTGGGTAGTAACCTCTAACTCTTGGGCTCAAGCAAGCCTCTTGCCTTAGCCTCCTGAGTAGCTGGGACTACAGGCAACTGTCACAACACCTGGCTATTTTTAGAGACAGAGTCTGAAACTTCTGAGCTCATGTAATCTCTACCCCTACCCCCACTCCCTTAGGCCTCCCAGAGTGCTAGGATTACAGGCATGAACCACCATACCCGGTCTCCATGTTTAATTTTTTGAGGGACTGCCATACTGTTTTTCACAGCCCCTGCATGATTTTACATTTTTTTTGTTGTTGTTGGGGATTCATTGAAGGTACAAGAAACCAGGTTAAACTGATTGCATTTGTTAGGTAAAATCCCTCTTACAATTGTGTCTTGGCCCCCAAAGTGTGTCACACACCAATACCCCACCCCCTTTCCCCTGCTCTTCCTTTTCCCCACCCCTTCCTCCTTTCTTTCTCTGCTCTCCCCTTCCCCTACTGTGTCATTAGTTGTCCTCATATCAAAATTGAGTACATAGGATTCATGCTTCTCCATTCTTGTGATGCTTTACTAAGAATAATGTGTTCTGCTTCACCCAGGTTAATACAAAGGCTGTAAAGTATTCATTTTTTTTAATGGCTGAATAGTATTCCATGGTATACATATACCACAGCTTGTTAATCCATTCCTGGGTTGGTGGGCATTTAGGCTGTTTCCACATTTTGGTGATTGTAAATTGAGCTGCAGTAAATAGTCTAGTGCAAGTGTCCTTATGATAAAAGGATTTTTTTCCTTCTGGGTAGATGCCCAGTAATGGGATTACAGGATCCAATGGGAAGTCTAGCTTGAATTCTTTGAGGGTTCTCCATACTTTCTTCCAAAAAGGTGGTATTAGTTTGCAGTCCCATCAGCAGTGTAAAAGTGTTCCCTTCTCTCCACATCCATGCCAGCATCTGCAGTTTTGAGATTTTGTGATGTGGGCCATTCTCACTGGGGTTAGATAGTATCTGAGGGTGGTTTTGATTTGCATTTCTCTAATATTAGGGATGATGAGCATTTTTTCATATGTTTGTTAGCCATTCGTCAGTCTTCTATAGGGAAAGTTCTATTCATGTCTCTTTCCCTTTGATATATGGGATTGTTGGCTTTTTTCATGTGTATTAATTTGAGTTCTCTATAGATCCTAGTTATCAAGCTTTTGTCTGATTCAAAATATGCAAATATCCTTTCCCATTGTGTTTGTTGTCTATTTGCTTTTGTTGTTGTCTCCTTAGCTGTACAGAAGCTTTTCAGTTTCATTAAGTCCCATTTGTTTATTTTTGTTGTTGTTGCAATTGCCACGACAGTCTTCTTCATGAAGTCTTTCCCTAGGCTGATATCTTCCAGTGTTTTTCGTATGCTTTCTTTGAGGATTTTTATTGTTTCATGCCTTAAATTTAAGTTCTTTATCCATCTTGAATCAATTTTTGTGAGTGGAGAAAGGTATAGGTCCAGTTTCAGTCTTTTACATGTGGATATCCAGTTCTCCTAGTACCATTTATTGAATAGGGAGTCTTTCCCCCAAGGTATGTTCTTGTTTGGTTTATCAAAGATTAGGTGGTTGTAAGATGTTAGTTTCATTTCCTGGTTTTCTATTCGATTCCAAATGTCTATGTCTCTATTTTTGTGCCCCAGTACCATGCTGTCTTGACCAGTATGGCTTTGTAGTACTGACTAAAATTTGGTATGCTGATGCCCCCGGCTTTGTTTTCATTACTAAGAACTCCCTTAGCTATACAGGTATTTTTTCTGGTTCCATACAAAACACAGAATTATTTTTTCCAAATCTTGAAAGTACAATTTTGTTATTTTAAGAGGGATGGCATTGAATCTGTAGATTGCTTGGGAAGTATAGACATTTTAACAACATTGATTCTTCCCATCCATGAGCATGGTACGTTCTTCCATTTGTTAATATCCTCTGCTATTTCCTTTCTTAGGATTTCATAATTTTCTTTATAGAGTTTCTTCACCTCTTTTGTTAGGTATATTCGTAGGTATTTCATTTTCTTTGAAGCTATGGTAAAGGGAGTTGTATCCTTAATTATTCTCTCATCTTGGCTGTTATTGAAGTATACAAAGGCTACTGACTTGTGGACATTGATTTTATATCCTGAGACATTACTGTATTTTTTTGATGACTTCCAGGAGTCTTTTTTTTTTTTTTTGTAGAGACAGAGTCTCACTTTATCTACCTTGGTAGAGTGCCGTGGCGTCACACAGTTCACAGCAACCTCCAACTCCTGGGCTTAGGTGATTCTCTTGCCTCAGCCTACCAGGTAGCTGGGACTACAGGCACCTGCCACAATGCCCGGCTATTTTTTTTGGTTTCAGTTTGGCCGCGGCCGGGTTTGAACCCACTATCCTTGGCATATGGGACTAGCGCCCTACCCACTGAACTTCCAGGAGTCTTGTGGTTGAGTCTTTGGGGTTCTCTAAGTATAAGATCATATCATCAGCAAAGAGGGAGAGTTTGACCTCCTCTGCTCCCATTTGGATGCCCTTCATTTTC